ATCACCCTTGGGGTTCCTTCCAACTCTACAATTCTATGATTCTATGATTTTAGCCAGTTTAGTGGATTTTTTCAAAGTCAGCTGAAAAGTATCATCTCCAGTGCTTTTTTTTTTCTAAATAAAAAAAATGTTTAGGGATACTCTCATTTTGACTCAGAAAATCACCATTTTATAGTTCAAATCAGGAAAAATAAATACAGTAAATGGACAAAAGTACAAAGATTCACAAAATGTTTGGGGGTATGCATCCCCCTGTGTCCCCCCAGGGGAAAAAAAAGCACTGATAATCTCAATAAGCCAAACATCTGTTTTAAGACCAAAATTAAAAAAGCAAGGTGGGGGGACAGGGGCAGAGAAAATAATAATAATAATAATAATAATAATAATAATAATAATATCCCAGCTTCCCCCAGACTGGGGCTCAAGGCAGCTTGCACAAATTTATACAATAAATGAAGCTAAAAACGTATTTAAAATAGCTATTAAAAAGTCTTCCTCTTTAAATGAATCTATGGCCTAGCCGTCAACCATTTTCCTGCTGTGTTCTGAATTATAGATCAAGCAGGGGGGAAATTAATAGATAAATGCCGGAATCATTAAAGGAGCCTCCGAGTGAAGGAAGAAGAGCACATCCCAGGTCATCAAAAGAATTGGTTTTCGTCTCATGTTCACTGCCAACGTTCCCATGAGTCTGCAGAAATCTTTTCCATCTACCTTTCTGTCATCTTCTTGTCAAGTGAAATCTCCCTATCACCTTCCCCCTCCCACATTGCAGAAACAATCCGTTTTAAAATTTCATCACAGGCTTTGGGGTGGTTTTTGTTTTAACGCTGTGAAGCCCTTGTCAGCTGTGGGAATTCTATTTCTGAAACAGAACCCAGCCTTTACATAACAATGGCTGGCAGAAATGATTAAATGACATATCTCATCAAGTGCCCTGCATCTATTCTACCCCATTTCTTTAAAAAAAAAAAGTATAAATTTAACCCACCCACCCACCCAAAAAAGCCCCATTGCAACTAGAAAATTATAAGAGTGGGGAGCATCCTTTGATTGACTGACTGACTGATTGATTGATTGATTGATTGATTGATTGGCTTGCTGAATCAATTTTGCCTGCTTTTTCTGTTCTGCATGTATGATCAAGAACCCTGCCTTTTCCAGGCATCTTGGCTGCATGGACAGTACATTCTTGGGCTGTTCTACAAGTTATTCTGAGTGCACAGAGATGTTAAGAGTATGGGGAGCTGGTGCAGTCCTGTTCTTTGCCCTCCATAAATATCTACCGTAAGATGTTAAGAGGGATGAAAAAGAAAGAACGTTGAATATAGTTGCAGGTATGACCAACTGATGGTACGCACGTGGCACTGTGGGTTAAACCACAGAGCCTAGGACTTGCCGATCAGAAGGTCGGCGGCTCCTGCCAAGCTAGCAGTTCGAAAGCACGTCAAAGTGCAAGTAGATAAATAGGTACTGCTCCAGCGGGAAGGTAAACGGTGTTTCCGTGCACTGCTCTGGTTCACCAGAAGCAGCTTAGTCATGACCCGGAAGCTGTACGCTGGCTGCCTTGGCCAATAAAGCAAGATGAGCACCACAACCCCAGAGTCGGCCAAGACTGGACCTAATGGTCAGGGGTCCCTTTACCTTTACCTATGACCAGCTGATGGTTTCTAGAATGGATAATTGGCTGGATTCAGAAAAAGCAGTGGAAGATGGAACAAGTTTGTTTCCTCCTGCTCTAGAAAGTAGGACCCCAACCTGTCGATTCAAGAAAGGAAAATCTGATTAAACGTCAGGAAGAACTTTCTGGTGCTAAGAGCTGTTCAACAGTGCAACAGATTCCCACAAGTGCTTCCTTGGAAATTTTTAAGCAGAGGTTGGATCTGTCATGTAGGATCCAGCTGAGATTCCTGCGTTGCAGGGGTCAGACTAGACGGATCTCAGGGTTCCTTACAACTCTGCTATTCTATGTGTCAGGGAGAGGCAAACGGGAAAAGATGAAAGGACAGAAACCAGCAGTTATAGAGAGCCTAAAGAGATTATCAGCAGCTTGTCGTCTGACAGTCAGTCTGACGTAGAGGGGGAGGAGGATAAGCCTGGGACTAGTCATGCTGTACACAGAGGAAGTAAGGGGAGGAGTTTTCGCAGACTTGCATGCTGGGTGCGGAAAAGGAGGAAGTAACATTAGAGGGAGCAACTGCGCACAAGGGGAAGGAGGTTAATGGAAACGCTGGAGATGTACGTTTGAACTTTGTCAAATAAATCAATTGTTTGGAACTGGCTGGGAGCCCGGAGTCTTATCTATGGCCAGCTGGACAGCACTAAGCCTCTGACGCTATGACTGCCAAAAAGGAAGCTGGCATATACTGAGTCAGACCACTGATCCCTCTCGCTGAGTATTGTCTACTCTGACTGGCAGTAGCACTCCAAGTTTTCTTTTCCTTTTTAAAAATATTTTTTATAAAGCAAATTCCACATAACAAATTATCAGATGATATAATCACACACATTATTTTCCCCTTTCCCCCCTCCCCATCCCTCCCTCCCACACCAGGGACTTCCCTTAGCTCCTCTCTCTGATTTCTCAGCACATATTATTCTCTGCATGTTATAAAATTATACATATCCTTACATTATCTATTTATCATGTTATCAACCAATAAATTTGTGTATGTTTATTCAAAACCTGCCAAGGAGTCCAACTCATTTTGTTGTCTTTTCAAGTAATTTGTAAAAAGTTCCCATTCTTCCCTGAAGTCACTGTTGTCCTTGTCCTGCAGTTTGTATGTCAGTTTAGCCAGTTCTGCATCACTCATCAATTTCTCTTGCCACTGTTCTTTCGTCAGGGTTTCCTCATTCTTCCATCCTTGTGCTATCAAGACTCTTGCCGCTGTTGTAGCATACATAAATAAATTCTTTATTTTTGTGGGCAGGTCTTGTCCTACAATCCCTAACAAAAATGCTTCTGGTTTTTTTAACAAATGTCATTTTAAACATTTTTTTCAATTCATTAGATATCATTTCCCCAAAAAATTTAACTTCTCTATATTCCCACCACATATGGTAAAAAGTAAAGAAAAAGAAAGCAATCAAAGTTTTCAAATAGGGATTGGACCTGGGGCCTCACAAAACAAATACTCCCTTCCCACTTTGTTGAGTGTGGAGACATTAGTTGCAATTCTCAATACACAGGTGTCCAACAAGACCCATGGAAGCCAATCAAACCCAACAATGGTTTATTAAATGATTATGAACAGTCAATCTGCATCAGGTATAGGCAAACTCAGCCCTCCAGATGTTTTGGGACTACAACTCCCATCATCCCTGACCACTGGTCCTGTTAGCTAGGGACGATGGGAGTTGTAGTCCCAAAACATCTGGAGGGCCGAGTTTGCCTATGCCTGATCTGCATCCTAGATCACTGAGCTGAGGTTTGGCTCAATGCTCTCAACTTCAATCAGGATGCTTCTTAGCCCGCCATATTTCAGCCTGGCATATTTCAGCTATAAAGTTATCAAAGGACTTGAGGACAGGGCTAATATTACAGCCCTTCTTTTCTTGCCATTCTTGCCAGGCTGTTTTTGCAGTGAAAAATGACAACGCTTTCTCATTGTCTCCACCCCGCAGAAATGGGCTGCTTTGGCAGCAGAAGAAGAAGAAATCGTGATTGCTGCAGCAACATCACTGGGCTTGAGGACTGTTTACTCTTGCCAAAACTCAGGGGTGGGAATAAATGGATGATGATACAGCTCCCTCCTCCTTTTCCCCCTTTTCCATCTGCAAACCTGCAAGGGAAAAAAAGTTTGCTTTCAATGAATTGATTTTGCAAAAGCATTTGATTAAATCCTGGATTTACAGGAGGAAGATGGGGAGGTAGAAATCTTTTACAAATACTAATCAAGTCTAAGCCTCTTTTAAATGCTTCCAAGCTGCCGATTTTTGAGATTTGCTGGAATGTTCAGCCCCTCCCATGACTCAAATCCATGCGATAATCATCATTATACTTAGCATTTAAAAAAAAACACACCCTGGGGTGCAATCCTAAACTAGATCTGCTGGGTTGAGCACGGTTAGGATCCAGCAGATCTCTGGCTGTGCCAGGAGGTTTCCAGCTGAGCCAGGCTATGCTGGCATAACTCCCTTATCCCAACTCTGCCATTATGGTCTCCTGCAGTATATGCTAGTTTATCTATTCCATCCTGGCTCAGCCATGACCCAGCTGGCAGAGGTGAATCTGGCTGATCTTAAGCTGGTGTGAGCCCTGAAAAGGGGGCATTCTGGGAGTGTGGCAGGGAGGGGAGAAAAGGAGAGCACTTAGGCTGAATCCTAACCTCATTCAGCATGGTTATTTGACCCGGGAACCTGGTGTAACTCAAAACTCTGTTTTAAAGGCTTGTTTTCCCTCTGCAAGGCTTAGGCAAACTCAGCAGTAGTCCCTACTTTGAAATGCAGTTTGACTCTCCAGGTGTTATTGGACTACAGCAGCCATCCCTGATCATCGTCTATGCTTGCTGGGAGAGAACCAGGGCTCTCTAAGTCTTATAGGGCCTGCTGAGTCCAGGAGAGCCAAGCCCATGGTGGACTGAACAAGCTCCACAAGGAATCTAGCATCCTTCTCATGGCTTCTTTTCTAGAAAATCCACATGCATTTTCTATTGCTTTATCTTAATTATGGCATCCAGGGGTGGAAAACTATCCATCACAGCCTTTTTGCAATGTGAATGGCAACAAAATTAGCAGCACTTTGCATTATATTTACACACACAAACACTTCTCATTTTTATTTTCCCCCCAAGTACTAGTTTTGTACTGTCTACAGAAACTTTTTTTTTATTTTCCCCTCAAAAATGTAATCTAGAAGACACTGCCCATGAAGATAGTCCACACTCAGAGAATCTTCACTAACATATTGGCAAACTCAGTCTGTTCTCAGAGAATCATAGAGTTGGAAGGGACCCTGCGGATCATCTAGTCCAACCCTCTGCAATGCAGGAATAGAAAGCTGCCCCTTACGGGGATTGAACCTGTGATCTTGGTGTTATCAGCACCATGCTATATCCAACTCGCTCTAACCAGCTGAGCTATCCAGCAGTAGTTAGAAGTTTTCAAGTTGTATTCAAAAGTGGGGCTTCCAAAATACAAAGTTTCCGGGAAAGTTAGGAATGGGTGGAAACCCTAACCAAGCTAAAGGTAGTCCAGCAGTGATGTATTGATTACATGCTACATGCTTGCCAAACCCCCTACTATTGCAATCCTTGGGAGTTGACATAACCTAGAGCAGGGCTTAGCAAACTTTTTCAGCAGGGGGCCGGTCCACTGTCCCTCAGACCTTGTGGGGGGGCCGGACTATATTTTGAAAAAAAGAAATGAATGAATTCCTATACCCCACAAATAACCCAGAGATGCATTTTAAATAAAAGCACGCATTCTACTCATGTGAAAACCCCAGGCAAGCCCCACAAATAACCCAGAGATGCATTTTAAATAAAAAGACACATTTTACTCATGTAAAAACACGCTGATTTCCGGACTGTCCGCGGGCCAGATTTAGAAGGCAATTGGGCCCGATCTGGCCCCTGGGCCTTAGTTTGCCTACCCAAGGAGGAGGATTAGCTACAAGTCTTCAAGCAATTTGGAAAGAGCCGGGTACAGCTCAGAACAAAACTATTACATTGAAGCTATTGCTTGAGATGAGATCCCCTGCAGAGTTCTTTCAGAGTCAAATTAATATGCATAAGACACAAACTCAGGAACAGATTGATTGTCTACATCATGGCAAGCAAGAAGAAGTGAAGCAGGAACGGTTTAAATCTCTGTGTATACCGCTTGGCTGTGCTGTGACAGTTTGAAATTAAACATGCAAACCGCTTTCTGTGGGGACTTTCCAGGCTGTGTTTGTATTCCATCAAAGTAGCCTGGCTTTATCATGCAGCTCTTAGACAGTGCTGCAAAATAGGCAGATAACTGTTAAATCGGAGGTGGTCCAAGTGAAGCCCCTATCAGGAATTCAATGGCATCGCTGAATATAGGGTCGCGGCTGAAATGAAAGCAGGGTGGGAGGAGGCGAGGCCCACCGAAACATTGCAAACTTCAGGTGACTCCACTGGAACCATCAAATTCGCCCAGACAGGAATGGAATCATAGCGAGCTGCTTTGCAAATGTCATCAGGCGATGTGCGTGCGAGTATCTGCACACACACCACCTTATTACCCTAGGACATCATCTGGGATTCCCCAGACTGAATGGCAATTTGCAGCATTCTGACCTTGAGTATCACTGTTGCATTACTGCAGTCCACTCAATAGAGCAGGAGGAGAGAGGAGAGAGAGAGAGAGAGAGAGAGAGAGAGAGAGAGAGAGAGAGAGAGACTCTGTTCTGAGAGCAAAGGGTGGGTTGTTTGTGTAGTCAAAGTTTCAGTGCCTTTGATAAATTATGGAGTAGCACAGAACCTAACGAAAAAGGCCCAGCAATTGACACAGGACAGCATTAAAGAGGAAATCATGATGCGGTCGGTTTTATTGATCAGGTCTTGTAAACACTTTGGACGGCTTTGGAACATGGCACAGAGCACAAGGAGAGGAAGCATAAATCACTCATGCTTCCTTTCTGCGTCAATGTCCAAAGGTGCCCCACACGTGATCCTCCCACTGGTGTGTGCATATTCTCATTGTAACAAACTGGAGGACAGGCAAATTGGTTCCCCACAAAGCAAATTGTATTAAGTGAGCAACAAAGCAAAGGAAAGCAACGAAGAAAAAGAAAATGACTTAGCAATGGAAAATGCCGAGTTCAACATTCATTCCGAAGAAACCGCTCTCAAATAGTTCTTTAGCAGTGTGAGTTCTGTGGCACGTAGCTTGATGATCTCCTAAAGCTCTGTTTCCCTCCCCCACCCTTACATTTTTACTGACGTCTGCAAACAATACTGGAGTTCTTTCTGGGTTGAGGATCATTAAGTCAAAGTACTCAAGCACAATGGGCAATGAAAGATTGGATTTGTTCATACTCATAACAGTTGACAAAGACACTCATATGCATGAGGACTTTATTGAATTTTATGCTGCCGTTTTCAGCATCTGGAAAGCTTCCCACAGAATCTGATTTTGTCAGTATAAAACTTTAAATACATGCTTCAGGGCACATATACTTTTAAATACATATTTAGAGTTTGATGGGCTTTAGCAGGAACAGCTCAAAATCCCCGGCACATCAACGAGATGTTGCAGCTTACAGAATGGTTTATACACAAATGGAAGGCAATCAAAAGTGGGACTGAACTAGGGTTGGGATACTGGCCTGTGTCTTCAGATCCAGGCTGGCTCTCTGAGGAGCACCTACAAGAGTCCAAGGTAATGAGCAGTCGGTCCGCACCACGGACAGCTCAGTGTTGGATGCAAGATAAAACCAGATGCAAGACCAGGCCAACTGGCAAAACAGACAGATTAGAATGGGGTGGGATGGGGTGAAACCATTTCCCCCCTCCCATTTCAAGGGCCACATTCACACAAGAGCAAGCTTCTGGGGGTGGTGATGATGATGCGTGTGGCCCATTGCAAAAGTGTGTGCAGCCAAAGGCAAAAAAAGGGCAGAACCATTGCTGTGTAGAGTAGGGTGCACTCTAGGTATGCACTAGTCAGGTTTCTACATGTACACCTGTCTCCAGTCTCCGTCCTCCGTCCATCCAAGCAAGCAAACAAACATGAGGCATTAGAGCATTTCAAGGACACAGGTCAACCAGGCAAATGAACTTAAAGTGAGTTTGAAGAAGTGCTGGTGAGACCTGTGGCCTGGAGAGGGGGTGGAGGCTGGGAGACAGTCCTTAGGACCAGCTGGAGAATGGTGTGTTTTCAGGCTTTTTCAGTGGTGTTTCAAATATACATAATTTCACTTACATGCATGGTGCCTCAGAATGTAACCCTCACGTAAATGGGGAGTTGTCTGTACAGGTTCTCTGGGGTGTGTTGTTGTAGTTACCTGTGGCAAGTATGGCACTGAATTCAAACTGCCCTCAGGATTCATGACAGCCACAGGTTCGCAACCCAGCCCATGCTCACCTTCACCCAAGGTGCCCAAAAGCTCTCCTACTTCCATTGAAATGAGTAGGGCAACCTGCTCATCCAGGAGTATTAGAAGGTGCCCGGGGCTCTAGACTGGGAAGCAGAAATAGAAGTGACAAAAGATCCACCTTTCCAAAAATGAAATTAAAAGCAAATTTAGTGGCTATTCAAATTTCATCCACAGAATTTCAATGGAATCCTTAAAAAAAAGATTAAAAAATGATGAGGTTCATGCAATTGCTCAGTAGATACTTTGTTTACATCCCTAATAAGAGAAACAACATTGCATTATGTTCAGTGTTCTAAACGGCCCTTACCCATGATGGTTTCTTTTTAATCCCATTGTTTTAAATTTCTGGAACCTCCTGTGGTTTTTAATCCACTTTCAAAATCACAGATTTGCAGCCTCTCGGTTGTTATCCACTTCAGAAACCAAGCATTCTGGAGCTGTGTGGTAATTTCCCATGGAGAGACAATTGCTTTGGCTCTTTTGTTTTCACCCGCATCCCTCTTCAAGTGAGACATCGTTCTTTTCAAATTCCACCCCAACACTGAGAAACAAAACAGGGGCATACTGCCAATCACAAGAGATTCTCATGGGGAAAGCATCAGTGACAACCAGCATCATAATTAGGGACCAGGAAGACTTTCATTTGGTCCACATTTTAAAGAGAACCAAACTAAATCACAGTTTGTGAATTTTTAGATCCACGCAAAAATCCATATGGGGGTGGGGTAACGCATTAAAAATGTGACTTTAAGGGGAGGTACGTACACTGTAAATGGAATGGAATGGGTTTAGGGAACAATCTGAGGGCTAGAACCACAGGGTAAAGTAATCCAAGTAAGAATCTAGTAGATCTCTGGCTGAGCTGGGAGGTTCAGCTCCCCTGGTTTAACAGGGCACTACCCTGGCATAACGCTCTCATTCTGGCTTAGCTGGAGATATGACAGCATGGAGAGGAAGGCTGTAGTTGCTGGGATTTCAGCCTGTGGTCTTCTGAATGCAAAGAACTAGTTGGATATGGTCTCTTCCCCTACCTACAAAAACATTGTGATTTGACTGAATGCTGAATAAGATGCTAGACTAAATAACTGAGCACCACTTAACTTAGAAGTTTTTAAGAAAATAAGAAAAACTGTGAAAGTTTAACTCTTTATGAGAACTATAAGATCATGAAATATCGAAGAGATATAAGAATTTAAATAAGATGATAAATTGCTGACAAAATGTTATAATGATGAAGGTGGGAGCGGGAGATGTGAGGAAGTCCAAAGAAAATGTGAAATTATGTTAAGACGAATGTTATATTGTTTATTACATTTATTCCTATTGTAAAATCCAATAAATTGCTTTAAAAAAAAAAAAAGGATATGGTCTCTTCCCGGCCATTACATTAAGCTTTACATCTATTGGGAGCCAAAGGGACTACAGCTGAGAACTTTTCAATGTACCATGTGTTGGTGTAATGTGAAGGATAGGTCAAATTACACAGTGCTTTCTCTCGTGCATTGATGAGCACATCCCCCCATGTCTGGGTGTTCTGAGATAAGGATGCCAGGTGCAGTGGGTTACCATAGCAACACTAATGAGGTTGAGTGTTTGACTTCCCAAGTCATTCAGCCTCCCATTGGTTCAGGAATGTCTCTAGGGCATTTTTTTAAATTATTTTTTATTGACAAACCAATCATATCACATTAGTTCCAAATTATACCAATACATAATAAACTCCAAATATTTCCAAATATTTAGCCGAATTTTAAATTTTTGTTGTCTCTAGGGCATTTCTTAGGGCATTCCGGTTGCGGTGCTTTGTCTTGTCCATATCCTGACCTGATTGCCGTCAGGGTCTGAATCTGTGAGAGTCAGGGGAAGAGGCTGTGGGTTTTACACAGCAGTGTTAGCTGGCATGGTGATAGTGTTAGAGGATCTCTCTGTGCATATGTATCTTTACTTCAAAGACCAGAAGGACTGTATACAGTAGATAGTGGGGTTTAGCTTTGCATTCTGTCTTAAGGCAATAAACACTTT